ATTATTACTAACAAAACACCGCGATCGGTTTATATTTGATTTTTTATTTGTAAAATTATATCAGTGTCAAGCCTGATGAGAACTAATAGAAGACAAGAGAATTGTCGAAAGGTCTAATATACCTTACCCTGCATCAAAAGATTAACCAGTTTCCTGGGTTCGAAAGTGTACAGTTTTCTGATTTTAACCGTTTTGTATTTTGTCAACCGAGCTGATTAGATCAGTTCATTATTCTGTAAAATAATAAAAACTTTAAGAATACTTTTAAAAAATTATATCAACTATCTAGAATGAAGTTATTTGAAACAACCCGAAATAAATAAGAGCATTTCATTATTAGTTTCGTTGTCCAGCCTGGAAATTGTTATCTTTAAAACTGGGACTACTGACTGTTGTTATATGTTAGTCCGCTTATCCTGAAATTTTTGTTATTGGGTTTTTGGTATAATCTTCACCGCATACTGAGGTGGTTAGTATCTGCATGTTTAATCGCAACTGCTGGGACCAATATCCAACTAGCAGTGTAACGACAGAAGACAAGGGCGAGGCAACAGAGCGTTTATTGGAAAAATCAACAGATATTTATAGATTTTCATATACATTATTTATTTTTTATTTTATTTAGCTTGATTCCACACAGTATTTTTGATACAAGTATGGAATTTTCAGCATGTGATATCGGTAGCCCGAATTTCGCAGGCCGACCGTTGATATCGGGTGTTCGTCGTCAGGGGATCGAGCCCCGGACCGTGTGCATGGTCGGCGAGCGTCTTAACTGCTGCGCCATCAGCGCGGTTAGACAGAGAGGTAACGTCTTCTGATTGGTTGTTTTCCTGGTGAAGGTTATTCTGTCAACTCTTTGTTGACTTTTCTTACACAGTCCATTGATATTTCTGCTAATCTTATCCGCCCACGCTAAGTCTGCTGTTATTGGTTGTTGAGTTAGTATTTGTCCTTGTTTTACAATTGATGGATGGTGGCTAGCAGTGGAATCCAGGATGCGCATTTCGTCCTATTTGGGACTCGTCCTTGTTTTCTTCATGACCAAGATTTGGGTAGTAATCATTGATGTAAATTGCTATCTACCAATTTTGCCTAGCAGACAGCTCTCACCACAGGAACACACGGGTCTATCTGTTTATTCTGTAGAGTTCGGAACAGTGATGAATGCACCTAGGCTATCGAGCCACGAAGAATTCTGTGACCCATGTAACTCTTTCAGAGTGAAATCGATCAGTTCAACTAGCCTTACAGTCTCATTTGTGGTCTATGGAAATAAATAGGTTCCTATTGTTTTTGGTAGATTAATATTAATAATTAATAATGGTTGCTAACAATGACTCCAGGATGCTCATCTACCCTATTTGGTATTTGTCTTCTTAACGTATCTGTATCCCGATAAGTCGTTCTTTTTCCACTGCGACTCATACAAAACCAGTCGTTTCAGTCGATTAAGCCCTATGCACCGACTGGCTGAGTCACATCACAAGTGTCACCTGTTTTGCCACAGATTCCGGTTGTTACTTATCTAAACTTGCATTCCACGCATAACTATTATCAATCAAATAGCATCTAGTTGATATGAAAAACAACATCAAAGCATCTATTTTAGGAGCCCGTGTGTCAACAGGTATGTTTCGCTGCGTTTGAGGAGAAATAACTTCATTGTTGTTTTAATATATTACTTTATAGTTCGTTAACATTGCTATATTACAAATTAGACTAGCTTTGACTTTGCTTTTAGAAATGAACCTTTTTACTAGACAGTTATTGAACTTTTCAAACAGTTTCATTTATGTAAAGTAAGCAAATAAATTGTAAGCAGAGTCATTCTTCAGCTTTCAGTAATTACTGAATTCTTTGGATTATCTTCCATCATTAATTTATTGGGAAATTCTGTAAGTTGTTAAAAGCAATCTAAAAAGATGAGTCCAGTTGGCTCAAGAACAATACGGTGTTTTAAAAACCACTAGGATACCTCTATTTAACCTCACTGATTAGTAATCTGTATCTCTAGGTAGTAGTAAACTTATCTCAAGCTCCTTGTCTTACGTCGACACCAACTTCGAATTCATCGCTAGTCAATCACCTCTTAACTTCTTAGAAACTCATTTCTCATGCCTACTCATTTATGGTAAGAGGAGTAATAGAGTACACTAGATAATAGATGGTACCTCAGGATATATTTAAAAACACGAAGTGCTGTCTCCAAATTAAATAAAGCACAGATCAAAACATTCCTGTCAATTATTGGCATTCACCACTTTTATTTAAAAGTACAATTATATATATAATCAATATTTATTAGACGATTTCCCTGTTAAGTTGTTTGTTCAGTCAATAAGACCGTGTTAATATCGTTCAATGTTTTTAATCTTTTGTTATAGCTTGTTGGTGTGCAAACAGATAATACCTGAATTAATGGTGATACTAAACTTATTTTAATCGATGTATAATGTGAGTAAATCAATAATCACGCATCACTAAAAAACTTTAGATAAGTTCTGTAAGATAATTTTGAAAAGTTACAAGTAGTTTGAGTGCTCCTTGAAAGTCAAGGATTTTCTGACTTATGTTGTTTAATGATGAAATCTACAGTGAAAGCATGTATGTGTTCATAAGCTCGAATAAAGTGTGAAGGTTAATTATGTAAGGTAGGTGTTCAGATTTATCACAAATGAAATTAGTTGTGAAATCTCGCTAATCAAGGCTGTTAAACGTTGAGTTCATAGTTAAACACAGTGATATATATGACAAATAAACAAACAATTTTAGAGTTTTTGAACAATGGAGGAAAATTATTCTTGTGTTCTCTTAAGTCGGTGGTATGAATTGCGAACGTTTGCTATTGAACAATATCTTCAGCGTTAACTTTAATTTGGGAAGAGCCTTGGGAACTCTCCACAGTAACTATACATTTAAATAATTTTTATAGTGTAATGAGCGTTCAACAGGTAAAATCAGAACTGTGTTTTAAGAAGATAGAAATAAACTGAAATACCCAATAGAGTCTACGACAAATGTATTTTGTAATCCCTCGAGGCATATATTAAAATTTAATACATAGAAATGTGTGTGTTTCATAGCCCAGTGAATTTATTCACATTATAAGATTCAGTTGTGAGTTGTGTGTAACGTTAGACTACATATTGCGATTCGATCAAAAAACAGATTATGTGATAAGCTGAAGCAAATCAATAATTTAATTGAAGGAATGACTTATGTTTACTTCAATGTACTTTTTATTCACCTTATTAAAAATAATAGAAGGACTGCTTTTACTTAACCTTGAACCTTCATTGAAAGCTTTCAACTACCCTAACCAATTTGCTGATAATTTTTTTTGGATTATAGATTGATTCCACACATTATTTTTGATACAAGTATGGAATTTTCAGAATGGATATCGGTAGCCCAAATTTCGCAGGCCGACCATAGATATCAGGTGTTCGTCGGCAGGGGATCGAAGCTCGGACCATGTGCATGGTCAGCGAGAGTCCTAACCACTGTGCCACCGACGCACCAGGACAGACGACTGGAACGCTGGAAAGAACACTTTAAGAAGCAGTTTAATCGGTCTACAGCCACGCTCAAATTAACAAACATCCAACACCTCACCCCCCCTCGGAATGGGATATAAATACAGGTCCACCGTCCCTAATTGAGGTTACTAAGGCTGTCACTAGTCTGAAACGGGACAGAGCAGCAGGACCTGATGGAATGGCTCCAGGGGTATTTAATTACGGTGGAGACAGTTTACAGTCTGTGTTAACTAAGGTACTAGGCAGTGTCTGGGAATCAGAGGAAGTCCCAACGGGTTGGCGTAAGTCACTGATTATCTCGACATACAAGAAGGAAGGTAAGTCTTCTTGTGACAACCACGGGTTGTACACCGGTGCAATGTTGAATCCAGCTGATCAGACAAATCTATTTGAAAATAACATTGTTCGCTAAAACGTGTTGTTCTAAATTTCTTCGTCTTATAATTAGCGCGCGTATGTCATCATCAGACTTTGTAATCTCTGGAGGCCACTTAGCGTCTTTTGAAAGTGAATATAGTTTAAATCGCAGCAGGTAAATAAAAAGCTGCAGGACATTTGATTATCATATCTAGTACTGTATATTAGATACAAGAATGCTATTTATTATTATTATTATTATTAGTTAATGTTAATTGGCATCCTTTGCCAATCACCCATCAAGAGGCTAGCATGCATAATGTTTCTAATATGCTATCAAATAAGACATTGAAAATTCGAAAGAAAACAACTAATAACCAGTATACAAAAGAAACTAAAAACAATTTGATGGCTTTGTGGGCGCCTTCACACAAGAGATAAATTAAGCAAACAAACTACCAACAACAACAAACATAAATTATCTATCATAACAATGTGAATCCTCATGAACATGATTTTAGACAATTCACATAAGGTGAAAACAAGTTAAGCAGTTGTTGTTAATAGTTTCTATTATAATAATGAATTATGTACTCGCATAATACACCCCTCGAGAAAAATTCACGATTTAATCCACATTTATGAATTAATAATGAAAAAGAACAATTCATAATAAAAAGAACTGGACAACTTTATACACAGTTTGAGCACTAGGTGCTAGTTCACACGTTTTTATATGAGGACTAATTATACTAACTTGCTATCCAAACTTTGGTAGATAGAGTGGGACCCGAACCTATAATCTAATATACAGAAACTAACCGTACTTGACACGCTTCAGATATCCTCCTCGCACCATAAGTAACTCATTTTGTAGAAGGCCACAAGGAGTTCAAGTCGCTCCAACTGACAACACGCCAGGGTTGCAGCGACCTTTTAGACAGATATAGTTTCTTAGACGCCAAACAATTTTAATCTGATCAGTGCAGATTAGTGATATGGTGCTCAATGTCTAGTCTGGGAATAAATCAACCAGAATTTGGCTCATGTAAAATAACGCACAATATTTTATTGATCATGATTACTGATTAATTGACATACCGTGGGTGATATTCTGAATCATACACTATTACGTGAAGTGTACTGTGCGGCTCACGTCGTTGTATGTTCTCGTTTAAGTAATGCAGGCTGGGAAGACAAGTAGATGTCATATAATGAGCTTGGCTTAATGAAGCGATAGTCGCAATTAGTGCGTCCCTATTTTAATCTCAACGTATTGTGAATAATAACAATTAGTCATGAAATAGACCTTTATATCTGGGAGATGAAAAGTACATCAGAAAACTCACTTTTGGACTCGAAACGATCAAAAGACTCTGTATCCCACCATCATTTTTTCAACAGGACTATGTCATCTAAATACAACACGTCAGCTAATTACCCTCTAAGAGGAGATCCATCATCACGAAGATAATCAATTAAAAGACATTATTATTTAATAATTACAGCAGTACTAGTATGCTGAAAAACAAATAACCAGCACCGAAAGTAATGAGAAGATATACTACACAAACTCGCAGACCACCACAGACACCGTTCGAGAAAGTGGATATCCGCAAACTGCCTAATAACTTATTTTGTTTTATGGAGACTAAGCAAGCAAAACATATTTCAGTAGTTAAACATTGTGCTTTTGCTTTAAACAGGCCCCCAGGTATACGTAATTCTAAACACCGAGGTTGCGGAACATGACAGTAATTCAAATCAATTACTGCTGTCGATAATCACTAGGATGAAGATAAATAGACAAATTACTAGTAATGTTAGTAAATAAAATATATTTGTCTAACTTAACAGCTGGACTTACGTGGTGAATACAGGCAGCATGGCTAATATAAACCGTGATCCAAATGTTTCTTGAAAATTTTGTTTCACTCCCAAATTAAACAAATACTTATCTGGTTGTCCACCACGTAGTCTTGGAGGATGGAAAGTTTCTAGTCAAAAATACAGATATTATTATAAAATTAATGGATGATTATGCTGAACAGTAGTGTAAGTGATACACTACTAGATCCAATGAAATATGCTAATATTTATAAGGAGAGACTGTAACTCTCAACCGTAAACTCTAAACGGCTGTAGACTGTAAATGCATTAGCTATTGTTTTACTATATCCACTACACACTTGCAGCTGAATCACTGTATTTCGTATAAAACATAAACACGAAAAGTTTGTTTTCACTCAGTTGTCTTAAGTGGTGTATCCTATGTGCTCCATTTAAGTCATTCTCGTGTTTTCCACATACACTTTCCTTCATTGTACGTCTTATACTGTTGCCATATTTTCTGCATAAATTAGGATTACCATGAGATGCATTGTTTATTGTAGGCTTCTAGTCAGTTCAATGAAGTGGGAGAAACTTGTTCTGACAGTACAGTTGGACATGAAATAAAAACTCTGAAGGATATTTTATCTAAAAGTCGGTATCCTGAGAAGGCTATCAATAAATACTGTAAAGACATGAGCCCCAGCAAAACTATCCGAACAGTTACAAAGAAATTCGTATTTATCCATTCGCCGTTCAAAGAAAATGATGTGTTCAAGAAGTGGTCAGACGAAAGCTTGACAAAGCTATCAAGAGAACCTATTATGCTACAAAACTCGTGTTTCTTAACATTACTAAACAGGTGTTTAAACAACCTGGAAAAGACCAGTCTCCAATTCTCGACACTTCAAACTGTGTATATCAGTTAGTGTGTTTGTGGAAGCAAATACATAACTCGTACAGAAAAGCGATTGTCTGCTCCCATGATGGAGGCATTTGCCTAGGTGGTTGGAAACAGTTGAAGTGAAAGTGCCTGAAATTTCGATAACAAAACATCTTCCGACCGACGGACATGATATCGACGCTGTCAAGTCATTCACTGCTGTCAGCAGACAAACAAACAGGAAGATACTAGCAATTGAAGAGGCTTGTGCAATTCGAGTTTATAAGCCAGGTATATGTGTACAAAAGGAAACCGTAGTCACACTGAATCTACCATGGTAAAATGTTTTATTTATTAACTGTTATTATTTTAAATGAACTATAGCCAAGATTTGACAGAATAGTTCTATAATATTTGGGCGCCGAGTGAGAAGTAGACATTTGTAAAAAATTATATTTGTAAAATCTCAGCGATATTGAAATGAGTAATTCCAACGTTTCGTTCGGCAATCTGGTCCGAACTTCTTCAGGGAAATTAATCGAAATTAACATAACACGTTTATATATAAAAGGAACATCTTTAGTTTTTAAAAAACTTTGTCCAATCATGATTTATAAAACAAATATTAACAAGTATAATAAACAAAATTGTACGAGTTGTGATCAAAATTTCACCTCAGACTTACAAATATTGATCTACCTTTGTTAAACACTTTAAACACAGTGTGTATGTGTGTGTGTGCGGTAAAACAGTTGTAAAACAATGTCTTAACGTCTCCATAAGTAGACATAGACAGTCGGGAAACTTTGACCAAGTATTATTAGTTAGTGATACATATCCATTCTTATTTATTAATTAATCAGGATTTCCTATGCGTCATCTAACATCACACCTTCATGTCTGTTCAAACTGTTAGTATCTAGAATTTTATGATTAGACGTATTTTCAAAATTATGGTGTTTACGATTAGAGTTTAGTTGAACAACCCCGTCAAACTTATTACTTTGTCTTCTTTCTGAAAATTGAGCTGCTTTATTCGACCTACTGAAGTTGTCAGAGTCGAATGCTGCCTTTAGGTCAAGAAATATAATGACTTCAGGATTTCATCATGAGCTGACATTAGTTAGAGAACCATTGGAAAACCTGGGAGTACTGTTGGACGCCGGTAGGAATGCCTATGTTCTAGAATCTGTCGGAGGGTGAAGATATGATCAATACACCCTCTTCCTGGTCTAAAGCCTGCCTGGCTCTCTCGTGTTTGTGCCTCCCGAGCACCACTCAGTCTACGCATGATTATTGAGCCTAAGACTTTAGATACTATATTAGTCAAGCTAATCCCTCTGTGATTATCACAGGAAGACTTGTCTCCCTTCTTGTATATGGGGATAATCAGTGACTTACACCAACCCGATGGGACTTCTTCTGATTCCCAGACGCTGCCTAGTACCTCAGTTAATCCGGACAGTAAGCTGTCTCCACCGTACTTAAATACCTCTGGAGTCATTCCATCAGGTCCCGCTGCTTTGCCTAGTTTCAGATTGGTGACAGCTTTAGTAACCTCAGTTAGGGATGGAGGACCTGTGTCTATATCCCATTCAGGGAGGTGTTGGATGCTCGGAAGGTTGAGCGTGGCTGTGGGCCAATTAAACTGCTCCTCATAATGCTCTTTCCAACGATCCAGTCGTCTATCCTGGGAGCTAATTATAGTGCCATTTTTTTCCGAGATTGTCTCACTGATGATTTGTCTTCTCCCACCCGTTTCCCTGATGAGTCTAAAGAGTTGCCTGGTGTTGCCTATCCTCAAAGCTTTCTCCATCTCTTTGGCTTTTGTCGCCCACCACTGTTCACGGTCCTTGCGGAGACTTTTCGTAAGTTTCCTCTTGTGCAGCTTTCGCTCCTCATTGAATTCGGAGCTCGCCGGAATAAGTCTTCTAGCATCTATCAGTTCGGATGAGGCGGTGGAGATCCAGTGGTTTTTACTCACCTTTGGGTTTACCTTATTCACAGCTTTTACAGCTGTATCTATGGCTGCCTGGATATTTTTCCAAGCTTCTTCAGGGTGAGCACAGCTGTCGAACACAGATATGTGTTTAGCTAGTTCTTCCTCAAATACGGATTTAGTTTCCTGATCGAGCTGGGGACGTGATGGTTTTACCGCCAGCTGTTTCCTACGTCCGTTCAGTCGTAAGCACACCCGAGCGCGGACCAGTGCATGGTCGGTATCTACGCACGTGTTCCAGAAGGAGCGACAATCTCCTACCGACCCACGCCAACGATAGCTTATTGCTATGTGGTCTATTTGTGTCCAGCGTTGGTTTGATGAAGGGGGTCTCCAAGTCAAACAGTGTCTCTCCTTGTGTTTAAAGTTAGTGCTTACAAGAAACAAATGATTATCAGAGCAGAACTGTAGGAGACGGTCACCGTTGTCGGTTCGCTGGCACGGAGCTCCATAGGTGCCACCGACATCCTTCTCAGATTGACACAATTTCCCTACTTGAGCGTTAAAGTCACCAGCTAGAACGACTATGTCTGAGCGTTTAGCCTTTCTCACCAAACTAGACAGCTTTTGGTAGAACTCATCCTTCGTTTCATCTGAACTGCAGTCAGTGGGGGCGTAGGCGGAGATTACGAAAAGGCATCGGCGAGTAGTGCAGTCCTTCCTCCTTCTTACTGATCCGTTCAGGCGGACAGCACACATTCGGCTATCTACCGGGATCCAGTCAAGCAATGTCTTTTCTGCCCTAGTACTCAAAGCTATCCCTACGCCAGCTAATCCTCGTGAACTAGCTGTGGCATCTCCTGACACCCTCAAGGTGAATTTTGCAGATTCAACCTGTTGGCCAGGTGGGGTTAGGTGAATAACCACACTTGGGTCTTGTATGCGTGTTTCTGAAACACAGCATACATCAATGGCTCGTGATGCCAGGGTCTTGGCTAGTGATGCTTGTTGTCCTATTTGGCAAAGTGTCCTAACATTAAGAGCTCCTATATGAAATTGGTGGCGCGGCTTTAAGAGGCTGTCGGTGGTGGTTTTTTGGCTTCCATCGTTTTTAGTGGACGCAGAGTGGAGAGGAAGTGGAGAGCTATCAAGTCGAGGAGTTGCATCAGTGGAAGGAAGGCAAGATGATAGAGATGAAGATGAAGACAAAGATGAGTGAGTAATAGAGAGGTTTCGTGTGCATTTCGGATTGTGAGGGCGATTGTTACTTCCCGGCTGCCCACACCGTGGAAGTTGGTTGCGTGACCGCAGAGCCCAGGGGACAACTGCTTGAGGCCGGTCACACGCGGCCTGTTTTTGTTTGTTCTCTTTTGTTTGGTGTGCCTCAGTAGCATACTTATCACTCCTGCCCTGTGACACGGCAGCAGGAAGCGCGGTCGTTGTTAATCCGGGCCACGGCCGATCCGGCATGAAATTTTGTGATTTTGTATTGGACATGATGTTGGATTGGGTAGCTGCTTTTTGTTTAACCGCTATCCAAACAACCTGCCTGGCATGGTAGAACCTCAAGAGACATAAGTCTCAGCCAGTATAGCTTGAGTAGATCATTGCGGTGTTCAAGCCCAACCACCACGTCAAGGTAGCAGCTTTCGGTCAGGAATTTTGATTCACTCAAAACTATCTTTTATCATTACCAGTATCTTAACTCGTTTTAACATTATTATAATCGTAGCTGTTACTATTATTGTCTGTCTGTCTGTTTCCGACATAGAACTTTGCACAAATGTGCGGAAGTTCAAGTCGCCACACTCCGTGTAGCACGCGAAGCAAGAGAAGAAAGTACAAGAAAAGCATAATCGAAACAGTGAGCAGTGGTGTGAGACAAAGGAGTAATAAAGAAAAACAAAACAGTTTCATTGGAGATCATAAGTCACAAGGAGTGGATGCATCTGTGCCACTGAGAACGATTTTGAGCCATGTCACCAATTGTTTCCAACCATGTTACTATTATTAGCATCACTTCTACTATTTAGTTCGAAATTTTTCACATCTTATCAGTCTCGTATGTCCCAATGTAATTCAAATGATATATATATATATGCCTGTGTATGTAGAGTATCCAGATGAAGAGTTCTCCCGAAATTTGATGAATTCATTCCTGCTTTATTAACTTCTGTCACTTGTTTTAAGTAACAATTCGATGACAACTATATCATAAGTGTAGAAATATATGACATTCACAGTAATCAGTTGCAATATTGACGGAAAAGCTGTTGTGGAGATTGAGTAATCTAAAAGATGAAGAAGAGCAGTAATTACTTTGAGAAATAATCACATTTCCTAGC